TATATATATATATATATATATATATATATATATATATATATATATATATATATATATATATGTATATAGTTCCGCTGGTATGCATACATACGTATATGCCCATTTATATTTGGTGCGTTCTTTATCTAGATTTCAAATGTTGTTGGTATTGTGATGACGCAGGTCAGCTACGATGATTTCCAAAGTGCCGCGGAGTATTTGTTTGCCAAAGGTTACTCAAGTCCCGACCAGTGCGCTTTTTTGTTGCTTTGTTGCACCGCTTTCTGTGTTAGCTCTACATGACTCGTGAGAACAGTAGGAGGACGTGGACCGTCTGTGTAAAAGACTAGTAATACGTTGTATTGTATGCGTATTATCACCGCATAGCGCCTATAAACAAACCTATAAACAAACGTATCTCTCTGTTTTGAGGCTGTTGTGTGTGTTGGTTCTCAGGCTAGCCATCATGGGGGGCTCTAACGGCGGGCTGCTCGTCGGTGCTTGTGCAAACCAACGGCCTGACCTCTTTAAAGCCGTAGTTGCAAAGGTCGGCGTTATGGATCTTGTTCGCTTCAACAAATTCACAATCGGGCATGCCTGGTAAGCTGCTGGGCTGGTGTTTGTGTTCAATGGCATGCACAAATAACCATACACGCACGACGAATACACACCGAGAGTGCAAGTTTAAGAATGCTGTTTAAAGCCGTTGCGTTCTTAGCTTTGTTTTGAAAGTTATGATATATATATATATATATATATATATATATATATATATATATATATATATATTGTATCGAAAGAAAAGGCAAAAATGTTAAATGTTTGTGGCCTTGGCGCACCAGTCCTCGCGTTGCTGACCAACGAGATGCGCACCATCTTGGGAGGTCAATTGTGCATTTTGAATGCATGCAGGGTCAGCGACTACGGCAACCCGGACGTTGAGGAAGATTTCAAGCACATATATAAGTAGGTTGGCCCTTCATATAGTTTGCATACAGCTAGAGGGTGTATAGTACCATTGTATAGTACCATTGTAGAATTCACTTTGTGACTGATCGCTGTGCATGTTTGGTGTTTGTAAAAATAAAATAAATACAGGATTTCACCTATTCACAACATCGACCCTCAAGTTGTGCAGAGCGACAAACAGCCAGCAGTTTTGGTGATGACTGCTGACCACGACGACCGGGTTTCTCCTTTCCACTCTCTGAAATACATTGCAACGTTGCAGGTGAGTTGTAATAAGAGGCTTTGGTAGTTTAGCTGTATGTTATTGTTTCACGTTTTTTAGCTCATTGATAGAGGATGGTTTATCTCCTGTGACAGGCGGTGGGCTCGAGGCGGGTGAATATGCGCCGGAGATTTCAGTTCCGATAGAAGCAGACTGAGGTTCAACTGCTGCCACTAAGATGGCTTGTGCTGGTTGCGTAGTGCAGAAGTATAATAAAGCTCTCTGTAATTCATTTTCTGTTTCTTTTTCGCAGCATGCAGCTGGGTACACCTCTCCTGCCTCCACTCCTTTGATTGCACACATCGACACAAAAGCAGGTCATGGGGGGGGCAAGCCTCTGCTGAAGGTGGGTGATGAAGGGGATTGTTGTTTATAATTCTGCGTCTCGTGTGTTTCTGCGTGCCGCTCTAGGCTGCACCTTCTCGAGGGTTTAGCGTTTGGTGCAGCATGAGCAGTATAGCTGTGCACAGCTGTTGTTTCATTCAATTGATACCGCGCCCACCCTGCTCTTGCTTACTTTCGGGGAAATTTTCTGTTGCTATTTGCATGCAGATATTAGAAGAGCAAGCCCACACCTACGGGTTCCTGGCGTCTGTACTTGGATTGAAATGGACTGGCCCGGCAATTGAGAAGAGTGAATAGAAAAAAGTTTGAACAGTATATGCAAAAAAAAGATAAAGAAGAAGGCAGTTGCCTCTCGTCTTGCTTGCCTTGTTCTTCAATAAGGCAATTAGCTCGACTTCTTCTATTTGCAGCTCTGTTGCAACCAAACACAAATTGGCGTTTTTTTCTGAATATATTCGCATTTCCTATATCCAGGCACACGAAACGCAT